TAACAGAAAGAATTTATGGGTAGATCCCATAATTGAAATTCTGTTATCCAATTTGTACCAAGTAAGTTCATGGTATTTTTTATGACAAATAGTTTAGCTTTTCGCGTTTTTTTTATTTAACGTGACGTTTGTAACAAATTCTCCAATAAATTGTATTTTTTCTCCAGTCACTGACCTCGCAATTTTATTTGTTTTCATTAAAGTTGGTTTCCCCAACTTCTTCCATATATTCAAATTTATGATAGATAGGTCGGAACCAGTGTCAAGTTGCATTTTTATTTTTTTATTACTTATTTCGACAGTAACAAATTTTCTGGTTATTCCGTTGTTCACTTCGGACTTTAATTTTCTTATTTTATTGTCTTTATTTTTTGACCTGCAGTGCAAGCTTTTATGCCCCACTCTTTCACAGTTGAAACATTTTTTATTCCTAAAATTACAATATCTGTACCAGTGAAGTGTACCGCAAGCAAAAAAAACATGGCTTCAGGAGTTTTTGTTTATTTTTTTCTGGTATTTCACTTTTTGTTTGATAATCCAAATTTTAGAATTCTTTTTGGTAGACTGACTCTTTTTTTTTTGTAGTGTATTTTCCTTACATGTGAAACGCCAGACTGTTCTATCTTTTTTTCGAGTCTTTCTTTACGCAACATATCTTGTGCAGTCTTCTGCCAAACTGTATTGTAAGACTGTTGGTTTACCAATTTCCTCAATTCTGCATCACTTTCTGATATCAGTCCTTGAACAAACACTAAGCATTTAAAGTTGTCAACACTTAATTCAGCTAGCTTGAATTCTTCACAATGCTTATTCACATTGGCTGCGTACGTTATATAGTCTTGTTCATCCTTTCATCCGATTCAAACATTTCCACCTCTTGTGAAACAAAGATGTCTTTTTACTAAATAATTCACTTAATATATTTACCGCCTCAGTAAGAGTTAACTCGCTAGTTTTTTTTCAGTAAAATGTAGTTTACCAATTTGTTATGCTCAGCAGTTCCTAACTTGCTTAAAAGAAGTCTAACCTTCTTTCCTTCAGACCACGTGTGGCAGTCCTTGTATACATGTCCGTATATTTTTTATAATACTCTTCAAAAGTTATCTCTTCGTCTGGACTGTACGTGAATATTTCATTCGAATTCCATATTTGATTCTCTGGGAAAGAATCATTTTGTAAATTTTTCTCTTTCCTCTTCTCAGTTATTTCTAGAATTTTGTTTTGAAACTCCTTATGCATCAGTTCCATTTCTCTTTGAAACTGTATCTGTCTATTAAAAGTTTCCTCCTATAGTTGCATCTGGAATGTTTTCTGTTGCTCTAATATTGTCATTTGTTGTTCCGTCTGGAACTTAAAAAATTCCTGGAATATATTTTTGCATTCCTCCATCTTCGCAAAAAGTTTACACAATGCTTAAATATTGTAGAGGGGGTCCAAAACGAATTTGCAATTCGTGACCTATTTGAGCAAACTGTCTTATTGAGGAAAAAAAAAAAAAAAAATTTCTTTTCTCAGTTGAGAATACAACTGATTCCCCCCCCCCCCGCATCACTAAGTTGACGTCTTGTCTTTCAAAAGACTTTTTTTTTTTTTTTTTTTTTCCTTTCCCTATATGAATCCGAATCCGTTGTATGCCACGTTTATTATGGTGGGTGAATTTTTTTTTTTTTCTTCTGTATGAGTTACAACTCCACATCGTCAAGTGTTGTAGAGTGAATGAAAAGTTTTTTTTTTTTTCATATGAATCCAAAATACGTTCGTTGCCAAGTGTTGTATGTAGCTAAATGAATTTTTTTTTCTTTAAGTTTTTTTTTTTTGTATGAATTTCGAAATCTGGTCGCCAATGTGTTGTTATAGAGTAAACGAAAACTTTCTTTTCCCCGTATGAGAAATGAATCCTTCATCGCCAAATGTGTTGTATGGCGTACAAAAAGTTTTTTTCTTTCTCCGTAAGAGTTTCGAATCCTCGGTTGCCAAATGTGTTGTAGAGTAGTTTTCACAGTGGAGGCTTGTATTTCGCTAAGTCGGTCCTAAAAGGGTCCAACATACAAAACGTTAGGAACTTGAAAATAATAGTTAATGACACAGCAATCTAGTTGGGGTGGTTGATACTTTAATGTCCGACATCGACTGACTGACTCAACTCCACTGAGCCCAACTAGCGACCGCTACTACTATGTGTGAGAGAGTCTATTACAATAGAATAGGTAATGTTCTAGTATAACAGAAATTAATTTAAATTTTGGCTATGAAAACAAAGCTAGTAGATATAAACTGAAAATTTCCAACAAAAAGACATTTATTCCTTAAATGAGTCTTTATTTATAACATTTTCCTGTGGCCTAAATGGTCGGGCCCAGTTTGGCTAAAGTGGTTTTCCCAATGGACAAAAGGGAACAGATTCCATTCCTGTTGGGAGGCTCTTTATTCCTTTAGTAAGTATTTAAATTTCTGAGATAGCTGACATTAATTTCACCATTGGAAATAATAGGGATAACTCAACATGTGTACCCACTAAAAGTAATGATTATAGTAAGAAATGTATTCAATATTCAGTTTTAAAAATATTGAAACATTTACATTGTAATAAATGGCAAACACTGAAAAATAAAAAAAGTTATTATTCACATCTTTATATATTGTTCCTGGTAAACTACAGGGAATTCCAAACTGAACCCTTTTAGTCTATGGGGGTAGACATTGTTCTACAGCCCATGTCTAAGGATATCTTGCCTAGCTCTTGTTTATAGTACTGCTCAGTTATTGCTCACCCTGTTTCCACCTGCCCAGCCCAGGGACTGAACTCACAAAGCAACACTTTAATGCACTAGGCTATTGTATAGTCATAAATTAAATAAAGGGTTCAGTGTCAGAATTCCTTGTAGGGTAAGTTACCTGGATTAATATACACCTGATGCAGGCTGGAGGATGCAACATGCGAAACATTGTGATAATGATGAAGAAAATATTTAAAATGTAAAGAAATTCAGACAAATTACCATGGCGCTATTCTTGAAGTATTATTTGGCTTTATCACCAAATAAACTAAGTGAGAATATATTAAATATTTCACTTATAACCTGTATCAAACATGCTGCCAAAGTCGATAGCTATTGAAGTAGTGAGGTTGATACTTACTTGGCTCTAGGTTCAAACTTGACTTTTTTTTTTTTTTATAAGTTTTATAGAATCCTTTGTGGAGTAGAGCATAATAGCCTCACCACACTAGGTAATACTGCCACTTTTAATTATTACACTAATGTTCACCCAATAAAAAAGACCCAGGGGCTACTCAAAGGTGATGGTTATTGAATGAAGTATGTGTTAAGGATATAAGACGAGGAAGTGGAAAATGAAGATGAAGATATGAAGGATAGATAACAATTGGCCTTGGCCTTGAAAAGGCTAAGATTGTAGTGTGCAGGGGAAGCATCCAAGCTAGAGTGTTCCATAAAGTGTCAGTTCTTTGGAAGTAGTCATTCAAGTAGAAAGTCTTTCTTACCAGTGGAATACATAGGCAACAAGGGTGAGTCAAACCTGTGGATGTGGCTAGCTGGGTATTAGCTGTAAAAGTCTGAAATGGTGAAACTGAATAGATCTTGTCTGTACGTTTGTTATGGAAATAACCATAGAGTAGCGATAGGCTTGCAATAGTGCACCTGTGAGGAAGGAGCTGGAGAGTGAAGGGGGGGGATGTCATCACTCACAATGCTGTGTAAATTAATTTGAACTGTCAAGGCTGGAAAGTGAGGATTCACAGATCCAGCCAATATATGACAGCAATATTCCATTTTTGGTCAGATGTGATTCTCATAAAAAAAAAAAAAAAAAAAAAAAAAAAATAAAGAGTCCAGTATTTTCTGGAGTAGCACAATGATCACAGTGATAAATTGTATATTTGAGTTCCACCATTCTTCATGAGAAAATTCAGAGTCTACTCAGCTTGGTTTTGGATTTACTGAAAGTTACAAGCCAATTCCCTACCAATTGCTGCAACTCCTGGGTTGTTAGCCCTATATACAGCCAATTTTGAATTCATTTTTTTTCTCTCCTAGACTAGCTGCCAATCAAGGCAGCTAGAGAGCCCTATTTGTCCTGCTATTTAAAATTTAGCTTGGAGAGGTGGAGTTATACTTTTCCCAAGTATTTGTGCCAAAGTGAAGGCAACAACTTGGTTGGAATTAGAACATTTTGTGTTAATAACTGATACATCAGGCACATCTCATTTTATGCAAGAAATTTATCTAAATCAACAATACTAGAATTTATAAAAGGGTGCTGAAAAATCTGATCAACTGTGCAAACATCAGAATTATCTTTTCCTTGAATCCCTTCTTGGTAGTGCTGAGGACTTCAGTATTCCCACTCCTCAAATTCTCTGAAATTGTTTTTAACTTCAAAATTAAAAATCCTGAAAAAAATTACGAAAATAGCAAAGTTTTCACTTTTCATCACCACTAAAAAGAAAAAGAATTTCATAATTAAGGCTTTTTTTTTTTTTTGATAGTTTTAATATTTTAATTTTCATCTATTTTCTTTTTCAGTTTGAAAAACTGAAAAAGAAAATAGATGAAAATTAAAATAAATATTAAAACTATCACAAAAAAAAAAAAAAAAAAAAAAAAAAAAAGAAGCCTTAATTATAAAAAGACATTAGCATTAATCAGGTTAAAATTTAACTTCTTTGTTACCAAGAAGCAAAATACTTAATGAGAGATACTAACATGCCAAACAAATTCTGTAAAGTATAAATTTTGTTTAGGAAAAATAAAAAAAAATAAAAGATTAAGTTACAAGATATATTATTATATACAAAAAATAATTTTTAGCAGTAAGCAAAAAGCTATGCCCATGCAAGTTTAATTAGTAAAATGTAACAATGTCAGAAAGAAGGACTCAGAAAATGAGCTACGGTTTAACATGCAGTAAAGTCAGTTGGTGGGTAGAAGGAAGTGATCAATCTTGAATGGGGAGAAAAGAAACAAATATTCAGAACAAACCATTTTCTCCAAATGCAGAAATAGAATTCACATTTAATATACTGGAACATATGACATCATCATTACTTATTCGATCCCTGAGAAAGTGAAATAAAAAAAAAAAAAAAAAAAAGAATTGGCAGAAATTCCAAAAAATTTGGTGTAAATCTCGAGATTCCTTTTTTGTAGGGGGAAAAAAAAAATAATCAAATGATAATGTAGGAATTATATAAGAGTAATTGATTAAATTTATGGTTATAAAATATTAAAGAAAAAACAAAAAAACAAAACAATAGAAAGTAACCTTCCATTAAGACATTTAACTAGTACAGTACTAGAATAGAAATAGTATTGTACTAAAAAAAAAAAAAAAAAAAAAAAATAGGGTACTATTTCTTCTATGTGCCTTGTCCTTTAAGGACGTGGGTGTTCATGGCTGTTACAACTTCTTGTCCTTTGTAGCTTTTAAGATTTCTCTTTTGCCATCTCTACTAATCCTTTTTTGACAACCATTTACCCAAGTTTGGTAAAGGTTATTCTCTGCTTTCACCTCTCTTGCTTTTAACGAGTCAAGTGAGTGCCAAATTCTCATTTGGTGCCCAAGAAATTTAAAATATCTTTGATTTTAAGGAGTGTCCCTCTGGTTTCTGTTTTCCTTAAAACATTGTTACATGTTCAGACCATGGTATCCTCAGTATCCTTCTGTAGAACCTCATTTGTTGTCTAAAGTCTTCATCTGCAAGGAGATTGCCATATAGGTGGACCAATATTATGTAACAGTTCAGTACTCCTTTGTTTTGAATGAAATTTTCCTGTTAATAGTTTGCTTAGCTTTTGGAAGGCATCTTTACCCACTCAAGTGCACCTGATTTTGGTGTCACATTTTCTGCTCTGCCAAAACATTTCCTAGATATATGAATCTTTGCACTTGCTTGATTTTGACATCTCCAATTTGTAGCTCGCACCTTAGGCTGTCCCTTTTACTAAGGACCATATATTCTCCCTTACAATATATATGAGCATGTGGCCAGGTTTGAATCCCATGGTCGTTTAGTCAGGAAGGTGACCTTGATGTTATCGGTTTGTAGGAGGCAATCCCAGCATGTGGCACTTTTAGAAAGTGTCTGAAAACCATACCACAGGTTGACCCAAGCCTTTTGAATGAAATTGGGTAAACAACCTTTGGGAGCTGTCGATAGCTATGCTAACATGAAGTCACAAGACATCCTGACTCAGGGTTTGAGTGTTGCTGGCTTTAAGATTGTTGATCTTGCTAGATTACATGCTTCTCTCTCAAAAACTGTAACTAAGGTTTGTTTAACATAGTTGAAGCATAAACCACAGGTGAACTCTGTGGGTGTTGAACAAACACAAAATGTACCTGAGCAAGCGTCTGCAATAGGGATCAGCTAGCTGTCCTTGTAGATGGGAATCCTTGAATATGAGTGGTAAGCCATTAACAATTGAGGTTTTATCCTATTTTTTCGATTTCCTTTACTACATTGTACAAGAGCATAGTTCTTTTTAGCTAAAAATAATTTTTTAAAAAAATAAAAAAAAAACTACTGTGCCATGATATACATTACTGCAACAATATTTTTTTTTTTTTTTTTTAAAAATCAAAATTGGTGATAGAAATTCTTACTTTATGAAAGGACCACTTACATTATCCAAGAAGATGCAGAAGAGTTCTCATCTTGACCCAACTGCCAAAATCTGGCCAATTCTGTTTTCTTATGTGTCCAAGAAATTGAAACTTTCTGATTCTAAGAAAGTTTCCTTGTAATTCCTATTTTTCTTACAACTTCCTCATTGTTCAAATGTTCTGTTCATGGAGTTTTCAGTATTTGCCAGTATCTGCGAAGCGATTGTTCCACATGTACTACCATACAGGTGAGTAGATACAAGAGAAGTTTATCAGTTTCTAATGCTAGTTTTTTTATCTCTTAAGACATTGCTTGGTTTTTCAGAGATCTTCCACTATTACTATCTACCTTTGGATTTATCACATTCCACTCCCACCACATCAGATACTATTCAACTTATTTAAATTTCTGTACCTGCAGGATTTTGATATCCCCAATACACAGCCGACACCTTGGTCTGTCTCTTGCTAATAACCATGTATTCTGTATTCTTACAGATAGTTCTTACTTTCCATTACCACCTTGTCAAAGACTAGAGTTTTCTTTCTGAATCTGCTATCAACACAATGTCATCCACCTATCTTATGGTGAAACTATGTCCTCTGATAAAAATCAGAAAATTTGTCATACTAGATTGATAGGTGAGCCTCATCATCTTACTGTTGAAATTGCTAGATGTAACAAAATTTATGCTAACAGTTTCTTATATTACACTTCTCCCTTGTAGAAGTTGTATTTTCCTGTGAATTAAGATTTTCAAAAATTAATATTAACTGTTATTTTCTGTCTTTTTAAATCATATTCTTTTGTCCTCTTTTCAAGGTTTTTCTTACTTTCACTCTCAGAAAACCCCTTGCATCTCAGTGGCTTTATTACCTTGCTTGGGCTAAAAAATCTTGTTCCGTCTTCTCATTCTTAGGATTGTGTTGCTGTAAAGATTAAATAAATTAGTGATAAAATGGCTTCTTTGTTTTCTATAGATGTTTTCTATTTTCTATGTATATTCACGGAACACTGAATTTGTTCTCAATCCACAAGTTATCACTTAGTTAAAAATTTTTCATGTAAAAAAAAAAAAAGAAAAAAAAAAAGCTTTCCTAACATTTCAAGTAGCTCTTTGCATTCTACCCTATGTGTTTATGTAAAATCTACAAGACATGTGTGGATCCTTCTGCATTTATATTGCTGATAGATAGCAATCTGAGCAGAAATGCATTTCTTTTGCTTCCTATGACTTGAACACAGCCACACTGTTCTTGTTTTATTTCTAGCTTGCTATAATCTTTATTCACTAGAATCCTAATAAGTTTAATTACGTAGCTCATCAAACAGATTCATTAATTTACACCTGGTTTCTCTAACATGGTTATCCAGGTAGATCCAAAGTTTTCATATATGTTCTTGCCATTATTTTTCTTTTAATTTGATAAATTTATTGATGCAAAATTCAATATGAATGACAGTATGTTCATCGCAATTATCTGGTCTTTTGCTGTTCATCTTGCTCCCATTGTCAATCTTGCCTCAGATTTTGGGACTACAGGTTCTCCCACATTTATGAATTGTTGGTTTTTCCCCTTGTTTGTCATGGAGGAACTGATTAATTTGTTTATAGTAGATTTTTTTATTAAGAGAATTCACTTTTTAGACTATACGTCCTTTGTAAGAGCACAATTTCTCGTGTTTCCATGTCTAGCTGCTATATCTATATTCCATAGTCTTTCTATCTGCACTTCTCATCGAGCAATTCATCTTTTTTCTTTCATTTATTTTTATCTTTGCTTAACATTTGATCTTTTGTAAAGAAACTGATGTTTTCAAGGTTAAAGTTCTAGATTTTTCATTCAATTACATTTGTCATTTTTTAATTGTTTTAATACTTTTCATTTTAATGGCCTTAAACAGAGAGAATTGTCTTAAGTTTATTTGCAATATCCAATTATCCTGGCTGGTGTTTCATTTGTGAAACTAAAAGCCAAATTTTAATGTTAACATTTTTCAATTGTAATTATTTCACCTTAATATTGTGAAAATTGAAACTGGTGCTTTTTTTTTTTTTTTAACACACAGATAATCTTTTAATTGACTTTAAAATTATTACATTTTTTTGTTTATAATTGATTTCTCAAAAAAAAAAAAAAAAAAAAAAAAAAAAAAAAAAAAATAATCTCAGATCAATTTACAGAAAGAAAAAAAAGATTTCCAAAATAAAAAAAAATGTTGGCAATTTTTAACTTTCATACCCACAAAATAGGCATGTCAAGAGGATAGTTATTCCTTTTACATTGCTATTACTCTATACACTAAACTCCCTTGGCAATGTTTATTTCATTAGTGCACACATAATACTCAGTACAGTAAAACATTCTTCAGTTTAGTATCTGTCTATATTTCTGAGATGAGGCATTATGTACACTATTTACATTATTTGGGCTATTGTCCTCATCTTTGTTGCCATATTTATCATGTTTCGGCCGTTGTACACTTCAGCCTTCAGGTGGTTGAAATGAAGAACTGAACCCTTTATTTCGCTCACTGGGGTAGACTGTTCTAGTTCTACATGTCATGTCAGTTATCTCTTGTTAATTTCCCTCTCCAAGTTCTCCACCGCCTTAACCAGGTATTGAATTCACACTTTGGGTCCTGTCACTGGATCTAACTAACGTCTTGAGGACACATGGCACAATCCAATACCTGGTTAAGGTGGTGGAGAACTTGGAGAGGGGAATTAACAAGAGATAACTGATAACCGACATCCATTAGACATGGCACGTGGAACTAGAACAATCTACTGCAGCAAGTGAAATAAAGAGTTCAGTTCAACATTTCAACCACCTGAAGAAGGCCGGAGCATACAACAGCTGAAATGTTGTGATAAATATGGCAACAAAGATGAGCATGATAGTCCAAACAATGTAAGTAGTGTATTCTTCAGTTTAACCATAGTAACTGAAAATAGATCGTTTTCTTTTTTTTTATAGTTACTGATGTAGCCATTAGCCACACTAATTGAGGAATTCCTGTAATATATTACATTTAGTTTACATTTTTATAATCATATAAAACATTTCTAAAGGAATTAAAAGTGTATGCAGTAATAACAGTGTCAGGGAAATAACTGTCCTTTTAACATACCATTTTTTTTCTTTGCAGACACAAAGGTTAAACATTACCAAAAAGTTTAAGAGACTTTCAAGGCCAGATTATGAATAAAGGCATTTTACATTTCACAAGACATCCAAGAAGTACATTCATTTGCTGGATAATTTTGAAATCCTGTACATAAAATTTAGAAATTAATTTCTGGCAACAGAACCAAAAAATACATTATTACAGAGTGATAAATTAATGCATCAAAAATTATAAATCATTGTAGATTTTAGATTACCTTAAAAAAAAAAAAAAAAAAAGTCATTCACATAACATTTTTTTTTAAAGTTAAATTATATTAATTTCAGACATTAAAATAAAAAAGATTTAAGAATTTTCTTTTAAGAACATATCAAATTAAGGGAGTAACGAGTCCACCACTTAAAAAAAAAGGTTGAGGTGATTTAAAAAAAAAAAAAAAAAAAAATTTTAAGTGTTCAATTTTATATCCAAAAACAAGCTTTTAGAATCAATATATTAATTGGTTTGGAATAACCCCAAAATTTTAATTACTTTATCATTCTGCTTAAAATTCCAATTAACTTTCATTATTTACAGAAGTACGTTGTAAAGAGTTACAATACAGATTTAGAAAGTTTTAAATAGTACAGGAAATAAAAAGTTACTTTCATCATAAGGCATTTTCAGGCTATGATAAAAAAAAAATCCATTTCTTGAGAGAAAATTATAAAAGAATGGAGGCAATTACAATTTTGTTCATTTTTAGTTGAAAGAAAACAAAATTAGAGTTAAAAGCAAAACAAAGGAAATAGCAAAAAATTACAATATATTAAAAAGTTTATACAGTTTACTTCAAATCATTCCTGTTGTAAAACTTTCAGATCCATCAGTTAAAAGATTTTCATGTTTTTATCAGGTCTTGAAAAAAAATTAATAGAAATTGCTTTTCATACAACACTTAAAGTTCAACTAATTTTCTTTGTATACAAACATCAAATTAACATTTTCATCAAATGTGGTGGAAAGAAGAGACATACCAGTCTTTTATGATGAACTTTATCCTTTCACACATTGATGGAAACTGAAATGGAAAAAAAAATACTTTACCACATGTAATTATTTCAGTTTTTGTAATAAAGTTATATAAAAAGGACATGGCAATTTGAATGAATTTAGATTCATGAAAATAGATTTCTTCATTACTAGATGTTTATTCAAAATTACTGAGGACACTATGAAATATTCAATAAATTTTCTAATCAGTCTTATTTTCATCATGAAGGAAAAATAACCGCTCGAACACATGCCAACTACAGTATTGGTATAGACTTGATTAAAAACAAAAACTGAAAAAGACAAGACAGAAAACAACAGAAGGAACTTAAAAAAAAAAAAAATTCTAAGCCTAATGCTGATGACCCTAACGCATAACACATTGTCGAGCTGGCTATTGATGACCCTAACGCATAACACATTGTCGAGCTGGCTATTGATGACCCTAACGCATAACACATTGTCGAGCTGGCTATTGATGACCCTAACGCATAACACATTGTCAAGCTGACTATTGTTTATGAAAGACTAGTCTAAGTTTCACACTAATTCCAAATCTTAAGTCAATGTAGATTCAAAGATTATCTGAATACTAAGAATTTAAAGCTTGGAAGGTTAACCATTTTTGGGTTATTTGAATGTAATTTTTTTTTTTTTTTTATGAGGTACCCAGTGAGGATCAAATTCAGTATTTAGTACTAAATGATCAAGCCTGGTCAACCATTACCCCTACCAAGGTATCACATTTTATTTGCCTCACTGCAAATTTTATGTATAGCTTTAAAAAAAAAAAAAAAAAAAAAAAAAAAAAAAAAAAAAAAAAGGGTGAAGTTTTGTTAGAAACTTTGGTCTTTAATTTTCAATAAAATTTAGAATTAATTTTATCTTACCTTTAAAGAAGGCCAAGATGTAAATCTTGGTTCAAATTCATTCTAAATGATCAAGCCTGGTCAACCATTACCTTTGTAGGTATCATTTTATTTGCCTACAGTAGTTTCAAAAAAAAAAAAAAAAAAAAAAAAATTGAAGTTTTGTTAGACTTTGACCTGATAAAATTTAGATTAATTTTCTTACCTGAAGGCAAGAAAACAAGGCAAGAGTTTGAATTAACAGAAAGAGTTTGAATTAACAGAATCAGGATGGAAAAAAGTTTATAAAAAAAGTATTGTCAGTGATAAAATTATATATATGTAAAGTTTTATTCTTTATATTAAGCAAGCTGCTTAATTTTTTTTGAAATGCTGACAGTAGTCTGTGTTTACATGCAATAAAATATTAGATGGAACATTACATAGTAAAAGTTTGAAATAAAAATTCAGCTTTTAACTATCAGATTGTGGAAATATTTATGCAGCCATTTTTGATTTTTGTATGATAAAAAAAAAAAAAAAAAAAAAATTGAATTGGGTATCTTAAATCATCAGTTATCTACAGTTTAGAATAAAATATATACTGTATTTTCCAGCTTGGAAGATGCACCCTAATACTGGAAAGAAATTTCTAAGGAAAAAAAAAAAAAGTCATTCTCATACAACACATTCACCATGCATCCTTCACATACTGGCACCATGTATTGTTTACATTAATCACTTGTCCAATTTTGTTTGTATGGCAATGACATACTAGTCAAGAGCAGGTATGTTTAAGCTTGTGGCTTGGCTCCAGGAAGGTTTATAGACTTGGAAATACTTGTAACATCTAAGTACTGATATTACATCATATAAAAAGCTGAATTAGATAGCTAACATTATAGTGTAATGACAACATACAAATCCACATTCCTATCAGTCAAGCAAATTAGGTGGCTTGACAAACTTACTTGAGACTGGGTGTTGCTTTACATTCATCTTGGAAGACAGACGTATTTTTCGGGATACATTCTCTTTTTTCATGAAAGAAAAGCGTCTCGTAAGCCGGAAAATATGGTATATTGTTCAATTTCAAGATATGAAAAAATTTAAATGACTTGAGGATAACTGTTCATTTTTTTTTTTTTCCTTAAAAGTAAAAACGATTAACATTTTTCATGGTAAAAATCTAAGGCTAGTTTTGTATTAAAGATCAATAAACATCCAGTCATCCTGGTGATCTGAATAATAAAAAAAATTAAATGTTTAAATTTATAAACAAATTCTATCATAAGCTTCCAATATTTGCCAACTTTCATACCGTTATTCTCTGCATTTTGTTTTGGAGAAACATGGACAGAATAATTTTTTTTTAATCTCTTGACGCTTTTACAGAACTAGTCCATCAAGATTGTTCTTTAAAGTATAAAATGGGTGGCGGATTGAGCAAAGAAGTGTGGATGAATAGCAGCTAGGAATGAGAAATTTGAAAGCAGGGTTCGAATTTCAGCAAGGTTCATCATATTCACTAATATACAAATACCCTTGGGGAAAGGCATGAATCCAATTCTACATTGAACATAAAATCACATTGGTTTGTTATAATTTAAAAAAAAAAAAAAGTTTTTTCTGCAAGTACTGGGATACCTTTCTGGATTTTTAAGACTTTGTAAAAATATTAAGCATTTAATGATGGGCATCTTCGTATACAGAGATTTGATATCTAAGCTTGGCAGGTTTCTAGTTGCCATAGGCAAGGAATTGATTGCCAGAATTTTAACTAAACTCCTCTCCTTGGAACAATCAGCTGAACCCATTACAAATTCTGGCAATTTTAACCCAAGAGATACATATTGCATGTTTTCCATGCAGATTCCAGCACTACAAAATTCAGATGGTAAGAGTTGAACAATCTCTCCAAGAATTATATTCCAAGTTGTTTCTGCAGTATTACTGCCTTTCCTCAACTCAGGGATCATTCATCTTGTGTACTGTGTCCATTCAGAAAGTTGTTGATCATAGCTCTCCACTATTTCTTGCCTTTTTTAGCTCCTAGTAAGTTTTGTCTTTTTGCTATCTCTCCTAATCCCTATTCTGCCAACTAGAAATTTCAACTATCTTTCTGATGTTAAATGTAAGTGTCCTTTGTTTCTATTTTCTCTAAAACTTCATTGCTCACATGTTTAGCCCATGGTATTCTCAGTATCCTCCTGTAGAACCAGATTTCTGCTGTTTCAAGTCTTCATCTTCAAGTCTTCATCTTTTACAAGATGATCTAGCATTTACTGGCATACAGGAGAACCAATATTACATAACAGTTTAGTATTTTTTTTTTAACTAAATTTTCCTGTTTGTTAATACTTTGCTTGGCTTTTGCAAAGCATTTTTTGCTACCCCAATGCACCTTCAGATTTTGGTATTGCAGTTTCCATTCTCAGTTAAAACACCTTCCAGATATTTAAATTGTTGCACTTGATGGATTTCACTATCGCCAATTTGTAATTAGCATTTTGGACTTTTACTAATAAACATACATTCTGTCTTTTTGTAATTCATTTATAGTCCTTTCTCCTCACTTTCCTTCACTACCTTCTGTAGGAGTTCTTGTAGTTTCCTTTCTGTGTCTCCTGCCAATGCAGTCATCTACAGAGTGGTCCAAAAGTCTTGTCATCCCTTCACCTACCAAAAGGTAATGAGAACAATAGAACAATTAATACAAAGCACATGTACTGGATTCAGTTTATTCACTTTTATTGATACCGTCACACATCAAGAAGGTCTGTATGAACACCATCATTTTCATGGCACAAAATGATACAGTGGCATGTCCTGTGAGATAATTTACAAAGATGTGCTTTGTTGATTGTTGCAAAACTCCTTCAACTGATGGATATTCTGGTATTGCCCATACTGTTTCAAGTAGCCTCTCTTCTAAACCATAAGACCTTGTGTCAGCCAAATAGAAATAGAAAATTATATTATGTAGGTGGTGACAAGGTCATAGAAACATATTTCTGTTGCTTCAAGTCTTAATATAAAAAGGAAATTATCTAGCATTCACTGCCATATAGGAAAACAGGTATCACAACAGTTCAGTACTCATTTTTCTTTGTTTCTATCAAAATTTTTCTATTTCTTAATACCAGGCTTCAATTTTGAAAGGCATCTTTTCCAATCTTATGAGCCTTCGGATTTCAGTGTCTCACTTACTGTCCTCTGTTTAAACACTTTCCAGATATTTAAATTGTTGCACTTGATGGATTTCACTATCACCAATTTGTAATTAGCATTTTGAACTGTTACTTTTACTAATAAACATACATTCTATCTTCTTGTAATTCATTTATTGTTCTTTCTTCTCACTTTCATTCACTACCTTCTGTAGAAGTTCTTGTAGTTTTCTTTCCATATCTGTTAACATTATGTCATATCTAAATGTTAAGATTGTTGCCTCCCAATAATGAATCATGGTAGGACTAACTCTTTCAGAATTGTCTCAATGTATTTGAATAAGTCTAATGAGAAGATATATACATTCTGTAGACATCCTTCATTACCAAAATGAAGTTACAAAGATAATTAAATTTTATGAACATATACTTGCATGTGATGTTGAGAAAGATATAAAGCTCTTCTTTCTCAAGCTATAGGTTAATAGAAGAGTAGACTAGGATTTCTAGATTTGAGTAGCAGCCAATTAAGGATTACTGAATTCAAAACTATTGAGAAGACAAGAAACCACTCCACTATCTTTCCTAGGAAGTCCTGGCAATTTAATGAAAAATTTTAGAGAGCCATTATTGCCGACATCTTGAGAGCTCAAGTCAAAGATATTTTTTTTAAAAGTTTAACCATCTTTGGAATAGTGAAAATAGTCAGTGTACTGCTATCAGATTTTAGACATGAATTATGGGATGACCCAAGTGATTGCTTGTAATTTGACCTAATTTTTTTTTCTTAGTACACCAATTCTTTTGTACTTTTATCTTAAAAATGGAAAAAGATTGAAATTTACTTTTTATTTACCTGTTTTTGCTTTCATTATCAACAGGGCTGCCTATTTTTTTGCTAAACTATTTGATAATTTCATAAATAAAATCTTACCTCTTTACCAGCAAATGAAAAAATGAAGTAAGGATCCACAAATTCTTTGTTTTCATCTCCAAGT